TCGCTACTAGGAGCAAGGACGCTACTGGTAGCTCCTGGATTTACTACCAGGAGCAAGAAGCTATACTAGGAGCACTTCGGCCATCCCACCCGTCCAGGTGCGCTGGTAGGAAATCTGGGTCGGGGTCATCCCTGCGCCACGGTCCGTTTTGGTTATGTGTGTGTCACACTCCGTCCCAAGGAGTTTTTGTTGTTTCATGCAGGGGGGCCAGGCCTGTCACATCCGACCTGGCCCAACGAAGCTAGGATGTGACAGGGGAAACACCAAGGGACGCCTTGGTGTGTACCTGCAAAGCAAGTTCACGCTGTCTACTTTCTTGGTTTGCTTCCATGGTCGTTCTCATGATAGATCCCAAAACAGGTTTCCCTTGCTACGTATTCAGCAACTAACGTGCGCAGCCATACAAATTTGTTAAACACCTTCAATTCCACTGACCCAGCCGCCTTGCCGTTTGCGTCCATTTTTTCGCTTGCTACGTATTCAGTAACTAGAGTCCGCAGTCATGCAAACCTTTTTTGTTAAACACCTTCACTTCCACTGACCCAGCCGCCAAGCCGTTTGCGTCCATTTTCGTGGGAATTGAGTTAACTGCAACGAACCCATTGTCAAAGTACGTGCCGCTCTGTCGTCCCACTGGGTACAGAGTGCGATCCTCTCGCAAGAGAGGCGCCGAAGCCATCGTGAATCACATACCGATTCAGCGTTCTCTGCATACGTTGGATTATCTTTTCTGGATTGAATGCTTCACCCGCTTACGGTCATATATATGTGCCACACATACACAAACCCCACCTTGCACGCGAATTCACCCTTTTATCCCACCCGCTATCTAGGGTAACAGAAGGAAGTCGCACTCAACACACTTGTGTGTTGGTGCCTTTCCTTCTGTTTCTCCTGTCCTAGTCCTAGCTACCCGGGCGGTTTAAGACTAATGTCCCGCTCGCTAACTAGTGCATTCAATTCATACCGCTAAGTAGTCAGTAGCTAGAAGGTTTCGTAATTAGTGGGCCTCGTCACTACACCTACCTTTCTCCCTTGCCCTCTTCGGTTTCTCTTTCCTTTCTTTCTAAGACTTTTTAGGTGGTTAGTATTTTTCTCTCGCGCGCCGATATCGGCGCTCTGTGTGTGTCACACTCCGTCCCAAGGAGTTTTTGTTGTTTCATGCAGGGGGGCCAGGCCTGTCACATCCGACCTGGCCCAACGAAGCTAGGATGTGACAGGGGAAACACCAAGGGACGCCTTGGTGTGTACCTGCAAAGCAACTGTTGTTCACGCTGTCTACTTTCTTGGTTTGCTTCCATGGTCGTTCTCATGATAGATCCCAAAACAGGTTTCCCTCGCTACGTATTCAGTAACTACGTGCGCAGCCGTACAAACTTTTGTTAAACACCTTCAATTCCACTGACCCAGCCGCCTTGCCGTTTGCGTCCACTCTTCGCTCGCTACGTATTCAGTAACTAGAGTCCGCAGTCATGCAAACCTTTTTGTCAAACACCTTCACTTCCACTGACCCAGCCGCCAAGCCGTTTGCGTCCATTTTTCGTGGGAATTGAGTTAACTGCAAACTATTGTCAAAGTGTGTCAGTGTGTTGTCAAGTGTCAATTACATGCGTTGTGGTCATATTTGGTGTTTCCATTCTGTTGTGGTATGGTGTGTAGGTCCGTCCATCAACTTACCTGCTCTACATTTACATGTTGAACAAGCTGCTGCAACAAAACTGTGGAGCTGTGAATTCACTGCCGAGCAACCCTGGTTTTTCACCGGCGTCACAACACCCTTGCTCCGCCAATCCATGCTTGCAGGTCTGGGGGTCTTGCTGTCAAACTCCACGGTGTGTGCTGCCTGCATGGAAGACTGGTATCGGGTTGATCTGATGGCGCTGAATTCTTCTTCAGACCAGTCCGCGAATTGGTTCACTGCCATGTGCCACGAATGAATGCCAGCTTCGTATTCTGCATTGTGTGCCTTGATCTTCTCCAAATTTGCCTGGAAAACGGCTCGTCGGTGTGCGATTTCTTCATCTGCGTAGGACTTCACAAACTCTTTGCAAAATTGCTCAAAGCTGTAGTCATCATATTGTCGGAGAGTTTGGCACCGGCAGCCAACTTTAGGAATGCAAGCCTCTGACGATGAGCAACACTCAAAGGTTGATGAGTCTATTTGGCAGCAAGGCAGCCCAGCTTCTGTACCGGCACCACTGCCACACTTTTTGGTTGAGGGGCAAGTGCCATTGTGAGCTTCCGCAAGCGCAAGCAAAGCAAGAAGCACTATCATTTCCAATACTGACCAACTACAACTAAAACTGCGCCCTTTTGGTTCAGCCTTGATACTACTTACACTGCATCGATGGCATTTCAGGCATCTACATCACTTGTGAGCACATGATGTCAAGCACACCTTGTGACTGAACATTGACAGTGTAAAAACAACTATCGCAACTATAACTAATATCTATATATATATACATATGTATACTGTAATATGTCGTACTATATCCGTCGATCACGCCTTTGTGTGTTGATCACACCCCTTGGGAAAGGCATTGCCATCATCAGTTGCCTGTAAGGGACGGAAAAATCGGAAAAAGAGAAACAAACCGTGGACAATTGTCCACGCAGCCATGCACATTGCAGTGACGGCGCAACATACAAGACGGAAAGCCTCAAACGTCTTGCAGACTTGGCAGACTTGGAAAGCTCAACAGGCTTGAGACTGCATATTTATTATATATATATATGTGTGTGTGTATATGTAAACTTCCAAACACCTGAAACTCCCCGTGCCTGGAGCTGCCATGACTGAAATTGGCCGCCTTCAGATTAGCCCCATTTCAGCTGTCAGGAACTGAAGCACGTGAAACATTATGTACTGTACTACATGTACTGTATTATATGTATATATTGCATATTATACCCTGTAAAGTTCAATATAAGGGCTGAAACGCTGGAGTGGGGGCATTGCGCAGTGACACAGGAGTTAAAGTCCTAACGTCCTAATGTACACAGCTTCCACTAAAACCCCCCTTCCGTTCTCACAGCAAAAACTTTGCATCTGCTCTAGCTGCGACAATGCTGTACCGGAAACATCACGCTTTTCTCCAGGGGCTCTGCAAGAGTGAGACCCTTGCATCTTCAGGGCACGTCATGCAAAAGCGCAAACACGGTTCAATTGGCCGCTTTTGCTTTCAGCAAAGGGCTCAAACCAAAGGAACATGGTGAGACGCCGAATCAATATCCAGCAAGTGTCGGTCTCGTTGTCGAAGCGTCATTCGCTGTGCTCTGCAGTTAGTTAACGCGGCCTACGGCTGAGGCTTCGGCTGGACTCTCGAAGGCGCGCTAGTGCGAGTGCAATCGATCCAATACTGAGTCCTTGTTACTACTAGTAAGGCACTTGTTACTAGAAGCGATGCACTTGTTCCTAGTAGCTTCTTGCTCCTAGTAGTATGGCCAGGAACCCCTAGTAGCGTCCTTGCTCCTAGTAGCGATGCCCTTAGCTCCTACTATACTTTTACAGATCTTTAAAGCAATGCTCTGCCAGTGCGGCGCCTGGTTTGCTGAGCAGTTCTCGAGCGCGGGCGTGAAGGGCAGCCACCTGGCGGGCTGCAACACAATGCAGCAGTCTCACAGCACAAATGCTTCCGACAAAAGGTGTCTTGATGTTTCTTGTTTCTAAGCCATTTACAGTAGGAGCCATTGGCATGCATGGCAAGGGTTCAAGGAAAAGAGTTCCTTTGAAACTGAGCTGATTTCAAGAGTTCCTTTTGATTTGCCAGATGTTTTGAAACTACCTCCTATTTTGTCCTATTCGTGTCCAATTTAATCAAACATGCGACGCCATGCGGTGCCTCAGCCTTCTCGAGATCGAACTTTTGGCACTTGGCGTTCAGTTCATCCAGCTCACCTAGAAGAGGCTGCAGTGAACTTCAGGCCAAAATTGACCAAACTGTTTACACTTGCCACCAAAATCCTGAGGAATTAAGCTTAAAGGAACTTTAAAAGGTCAACTCGGGTCCAAGCGCTTCAGCTCTTCACCAGATGCTTTCAACTTTTCCAATTGCTTTTTCAGTTCTTCGATCCTCTTCAAGGCCTGAGATACCAGCTACAACCCTGATGAAAGCCGGTCGTTCGAACGCTTCCGACGAAAGCGAAAGCACTTTGCGTGCGCTTTGCTGCGGGCCTTCTGCGTCTCTATGTCAATACCCTCCTGCAAACGGACCGGCGCCGACTCAGACTCAGACTCAGACATTCTGCACTCACGCACGCACACACTCAGACTCACTCTCTCTCTCTCTCTATATATATGTATATATATATATCTTTCTCCGTGGCTGCCAGCGCGTGACTTACGCTGCGTGACCTCTTTGTCATTGAATCTGTCTGAATGTAGCTGGCCGCTTTCACACAACACGCGGACAAGCCGACAAGCCCTCCTTGCAGCAAGCAGTAAGCTTCAAAGTATATAAATTCTTTGATAGCAGCTGCTATGAGGGAACAATTGGGAACAACACGTTACTTTGATGGACAGCTGTGTGCCACACCGCTCAGGGATCTGCATGGCTTGTTTCAGCCACCATCTTTGAGACCCGAGGGCTACCGCACACGCCACTACTCCAAGAGGCCAGGCACTTAAAGTATTCAAATATTGGCACGAGCATTGTTGCAGTGTATAGTCACTCAATTGTGTGCTGGCCCATTTGACATGCGCAAGCAACCAACTTGGCAAATTGTGCCGAGCTCGAACACAGTCTCAGCCACAAAGGCTTTCACCCTGTAACTTCACTTCTGGATCGGCAAGGCACTGGGCTCACAATCACAATCAAGGATGACCCCCCGAAAAGGTCTTAAGTCTCTTGGACTGTCTCTTGGCTAAGGCTCTAAGGATTCGAGCTGAAGGGTTCCATTATGTTCCATTTCCAAGTCTTAGCAAGGTTGCTGACAGACCTTTCAAAGGGTCCCCAAAAAGAAGCCTCACATTGCCGTGTGCTCAAGGAGCAGCAAATTGGCGCTGTCTTCTTGCAATTACTGGAGCAGCGCCTGATGTTGGACCAACGAGCCAGTGAAACCAAAGTCGAAAGATCTGATGAGACTATGCAAACGATTCGACTGGGTTGCAAGGATTAAAAAAGGACGAATTGGTGCCTGGAAGGCTTGGTAGAACCACCTGCTGTCTTGGGCTCCGCTGACACTTGGTACGGCTCCTGCCTGCCCATCACATTTGATACCTTGGTTTCGTCATCCGGATTCCTGGCTCAAGCTTACTGTTCGTTGTAAATCTTGTCTTCGTTGGTTTCCGCGACTGAGTGCCACCCACACGCATTGCAGGCTAGATGCTATAGTGTGGCACTGCGTGAATGTTGTCATAGTGGGCCCGCCGCAGATCTTCCTGAATGAAGAGTCGGACAGTTTGAGGAGTTTGCGATTACAAAACGGGGATAGTGGAGCCCAAGAAAAATCCATATCCCATGATTCCCATGCAACATCAGCCATTTGTGCTGAGGTGCGTTCACCTCGCGAACACCTCCACCCTTCTTTAGCCATTCCACAGCCTCCTTTGCTGATCCATACCCGAGCTCCTCAATGGCCTAGAAGGTGGAAGCGAACAAAGAATCCCCAGAAGATTTCGGAATACGTAATTACGCCGCTGAAACATGTATCTTTTTCAAAACCATATGTTATTTCCCCACAAAGTCCTGGGCTGCACCTTCAGGGGTCGAGATGTTGCAGTCCCGGTCATAGGTGAGCTCGTAAAACTTTCCTAGCACACACACACATTGCCGTGTTAATTGTCAATTGCAAGCCTCATGGAGTGCTCGCAGCTGAGAGGCTCATCAATGAATGGGCCCTTTCATCCTTTTCGCTTTGGCTCAACGAAGTGATTTTGGCGTCCAACTCCTCAAGGTACACGCAGAGTCGATGTGCATTCCTGATGCCGAGTTCGCTCTGAGCCGGGCCTGCTACTAGAAGGATTGCAATCATGTTCATCATGTATAGTATGCTTTCATGCTTTCGTCTATATAAGCCAGCATGCATGATTTATATTGATTTATGGTCTTCCCAGCATTGCACTTGTGCATGCCAGTGTCTCTGTGTTCGGCCACCACTTCCATTGCTTCAGGGGGCCTGGCTTCCATCCGCCACCCCAGCCACGACGCCTGGACAATTCATCCGATGGCTTCATCCCGATCCCTCCGTGATAGAAACAGAGATGAGCATGATTCCTGAAACAAGAAAAGCATGATATGCATTCGTTTAGTTATACTAATGTACATGACATTACATGGTACATAATATACAAATTATATACCTGTACGGCGGAACAAAATCTCTCTCACCCCTTGCTAACAAGCAGCTATCTTTCTAGCTGGGCTAGGGGGTGAGAAAGGCACAACATGAGATGAGTACTACAAGACTGACATCTTTGACAAATCGTTGGTACAAATACGACAAGATCTGAAGGCCAGTCTGCCTGCAGTACTCTTGTTTGTCTTCCCCACTCTCCTTGGTGCGGGGGTCGATCATGAAGGGATGATACCTCCAGCATGGTTGCAAAGGCTTGAACACGTGGAAACTGGGTAGTTGTCCAAATCAATGGACTCCATACGAGACACACAAGGACCTAAGGATGGTCACGCAATGTTTACAAGGAACTCTGTTAGCCACTCTGTTAGCCTACATCAGCTGCTGCCAATTTTGATCAAGCTTGTAGGCTCTGGATGTGCAAAATGGCCCACATAGAACTGATGCAAAAGAAGAAGTGCAAGCACACACAAGCGCAAGAGGCGCCAGCCTCACGGTGACATTCACTCCCTCCTTCTGCACCTGTTCTACAGCAGCCTCCAGTCTTGTATCCCCAACGTAGCACCAAGGTCAGGCAATATCACTCACAATGTCCACCTCAATGCGTCTTTTGCTCATTGCTCCGCACTGTCCAGAGTAGCTACTTCGAGTTTACAAAAGGCTGCAGCCTGCAGGCGAAATGTTCAGGCCCATCGCTCTTAGGATGGAGGCCATCGCTCTTAGGGTGGAGGCCATC